ACACACACACACACACACACACACACACACACACACACACGCTCCGTAAACACTCAAGATGGATTTTCCTGAGCACAGCACTGAGCACTCTGGCTCTGGGCCTGTGGCAGTCACACCAGAGGGGCAAGGGGGATGGGAACCGTGTGGAAAGTACTTTCCCACTCTGACCCCAGGCCCAGCTTCCTTCTCAAGCTGGGTCAGCCCAGGAAAAACCACCACTTTCTTTAGCTGATTCCTGAGCCAGGGTTGCTGCAGCCCCATGAGGAGCTGGACAAACAGGACCTTTCCCATTCTGGGGCTTGGTCACCCTCAGGATGGGCCGTGAAGCCCAACACCCCCCCACATGGCCACGTCCCCACACAGCAGCCCCCCTGGCCTCTGCCTAGCCCCAAGCCCAGGCCCATGGCCCCCAAGGCCCTCCCTGGCCTCAAGCTGGCTCAGGAAGAGCCCTGTCCTTGCTCCCATCACTGCCAGCCCTGGGTCCAACCACGAAGCAGGGGCCAACCAGCAGGGCAGACCACAAGAAGCATCTGGGGAAGTGGCTGTGAGCCCTGCAGGACAGGTGAAGACAGGATGGGGGACACCAGAGCCCTCCTCCTAGGGCCCTCCCTTCCAGGTTCCTTCCACAGCAAGCTCAGATCCCTGGGGACAGAGATGTCCCAGCTAGTGGCCCAGGCCCAGCCCTCTAAGGCTGCCTCCTGTCCCAGGAGCTAGGTCGAGTGTCTGGTGGGCAGGGGGCTCAGCCTGCCACTGGGGTCCAGGCCTCCAGCTGGAGCCAGGCTCAGTACTCTGCCATGAGAATCCCCTCCAACACCAGAACCACCCGAAGCTCTGCTCTGTTCTCCATGGGGCGAAGCTACAGGTGCCAGGGCTGACCCGGCCTTGGAACCCCAGGTCCACAGATCCTAGCTGGATACCCCCGGCCAGATTCTTTGCTGTTCTGGGCCTCAGTTTCCCCTCTCAGGGTTTCTGTAAATGAGCTACACAGACAAGCCTGAGTGTCAGCCGTTGTCTCTGTTCAGAAAAAGTGGTCCCGAGACGGCAGCCACAGGGGCGCTGTGGGAGTAGTGGGAGTAGTGGGAGTGGGGCTCACGGCTGACCTGCTGCATGTGCTAGTCGGGCTGGACGGGAGCAGCCTGGGCCACTGCAAGCCAGGGCCCACCTCTGGGGCCTGAGGCTCTGACGCCCTTGGGACTGGACGCGGCAGGTGCACAGCTTTGCCCTGGTTGCCTTTTTGTGAAAACTTAAAAACCAGCCACCGTGTGGGGAGGCTGATGTGATTTAGGGGTGTGGGGAATCAAAAAGACAACTCTCCCTTTGTTCTCCCTGCTGTGGGGGAGGGGCGGGGCAACTGGGATTCAGGCTCTGCCCCCTGCCTCACTCAGCCCCATTTCACATGAAAAATGGTAGGTGCAGACAGTGTGTCCCCTGATAAGTACAGTGCCTGGATGGAGAAACTCAGGCAATGAGGGGCCATGAGTAAGGGCAGGTTTCACCCACCCTCACCAGCCCTGGTCAGGTTCCTACTCCACAGCCTGCCATGGCTCCCCAGTGCGTTGGCATTGGTGGTCCTCCCCTGCCCAGGCCTTTCTGGCTGGGCCCACTTCCAGACTCCCCCAGCCCCCATCTTTAGGGCTGGCCCAGCCATTCCCCGTGCTCTGTCCCGAGACGAGTTCTTGAGGCCCCTCAGACCACACAGCCCTCTGTGTTGTGGCGAGGCCCTGCACTGCCTGGGCTCAGGATAGGGCTGGCCCCCAACAACAAAGCCACAGTGTCAATACTGGCCCCATTCACCTGGGGCAACCAGTGACCCGTCCCCCAGGAAGGGATCCCCTCCTCACCAAACTTCATGGACACAGACCCCGGCCAACTGGGCAGTGCTGGGGTCAAATGGGATTGGCAGAGACACCCCCACCCCCGGACTTGTGGAAAAGAGGGCGGGAAGCAGCCATCTGTGTGGAAAAATCCTGCACCCACACCCACTACGGGCTAGGAAGGTGCTGACTAAGCCCTCGAAGGGAACTGTTTTTAGACTGATTCCCAGAGGCTTGGACCAGGTGTTCTGTGTAGGGAGATCCAGGCTGACCTCTGACCTCTGACCCATTCCTGTGAGCCTGGAAGGGCTCCTGGGCACAGTGGGACACCTACCAGACGGCAAGAGGCCATCCCCCATCCCTCCAGCCCCCATCTGTCTGTCTACCTGTCTGTCTGCCAGGATGGGCTGCAGGCCACCTGAGGACCTGAGCTGCCGCTGCCCCTTGCTGAACACTGTTGCTCTGTCCACTGGGCCTGACTGCGGCTGGGCCTGACAGTTACACACTGTCCCTGCACTGCCAGTAAGCCTGGCGCCCACCAGGTCCTGCGAACAGCCACGGCCACGATCTCTGCCCCCTGGAGTAGCTCCCACGTCTTCTGTCCAGCATGGATGGTGGAGGCCCCACCTGGGCTCCCTGTTGGAGCCCAAGGAGAAACTGCCTACCGTGCGAGGCACCTGCACCCGGACGTCCGCGCTGTCCAGTGGGGAGTGGCCGCCCTCCCGGGGCCTCCTCTCAGCAGCGTCCGGCCCTTCCTGGTACTTCCTGCTCCTCATGGGGAGGGGGAGCACGTCCCTGCCCTGCCCCCGCCAGTCCCCAGAGTGATGGCTGTCTCCATTCTGCTCCTGGGGAGGGGGAGGGAGGCCAGGCGTGGGTAGGGCCACCAGCAATCCCAGGACCCTAAGGGGGGGGGCCTGGTGAATGCAGTCACCCCATTTCACAGACACAAGGGAGGAGGAAGAGGGCTAGCAAGGCCCGGGGGGGCGGGGAGGGAGGCTGGCAGGGAGGGACAGAGCAGGGCACTGGAGGAGCTCAGGCTGCACCTCTGACCCCCCAAATGTTGACCTTCCCACACTAGGAAACATATGACTGTGGGTGACCCTGAACCTCATCTCCCAGGAGGCCCCCCCATGGGCCTGTGCAACCAAACCCAGTGTACACTGGAGTAATGAGAGGCTCAGAGGGTAGGTCACTTCCCCAGGGCCGTACCGAACCCACCCCAGCAGATACAGAGGGCCCAGAGCCCACCTGCCCAGCCCCAAATCTGCTTGGGGTTTGCAGAGCCCCAGCAGCTCCACTGGTAACAGCTCTGCTTCCCCATGTGACAGTGTCCGAGTGGGAAGGAGCAGATAGGAGCGGGCTGGCCGAGACGCTGGGGACATGGCTGGGCAGGGCAGAGGGGTCTGCAGTGTGTAAGGACCCGTGGCTTGTCCCAGGGTATGCAGCAGGCAGGACCCTGAGGTGTGATGGGAGGGAGTGGGTGCTGGTAGTACAGGGCCTTGTGGTGCCTCTCAGGGAACCAACGGGGGCAGATGGCACATTTATCTCCCATGGCAGGGACATGACGTGGACAGAGTGGTGGCAGCTCAGCAAACACTGCAGCAGCCTCATTAGCCTGCTGCCTGCACTCTGCCCATGCTCTGCCACTCTGCTGACGTCCTGTGTGCCCCAGCCGCCCACCCAAACCCGGCTCACCCGCTCCAGGGGGAGCCTCAGCAGGTCCCAGGTCTCCGCACTCAGCCTCTGTGTCCTCTTGGGCCTGGCCCCTGGAAAACAGTGGCTCAGTCAGCCAGTGTTGACCCCTGGCCTCCAGGTTGGCTGGCACAGGTGGGGCCCTCTGGGGAGCAGAGGCTAGTGAGCCTGCACCCCAGGAGGGAGATGAGCTTGCGATGCCCCACCCCATGTGGAGGCAAAGGCAGTGTCTGCAAGAACTCTGGGCTGGGGTGGAGATGGGATGGACCCTGCAGGGCCTGGGTGGAGTCTCGCTTTAGTGTTTCCAAGTTCTGGACCCGGCTCCCTTCCGGCCCTCTCTGTGATCACCCCAGCATTACACATGGGCTCCGCTCGTGAAGCTCAGAGGCTCTGTGCACACCTGCGGTGGACAGCATAGGAGCTGAGCCCCGAGACATCCCCATACTGGGCACGCCACAGCAGGGAGCCCTCAGCGGGCGCCCTGACCTCAGCCCCAGACCATACCCACTGCCTGGACCCAGTCCCCAGAGGGAGCCAGCTCAGGTGGTCAGTGACTCAGGCCAGCCCAAACCAAGTGTCCAGGGCTTCATGAGAACTGGGCAGTTCAGAGACAGCTGGAGGGGATGGCGTGGGCAGCTGTGCCCTTTCCCTGTCCTGGCCTCTAGGTTCTGAGGAAGCCACACCCTGTCCAAGAAATAAGATGGCCGGCAGTGGGAATGCAGTGGTCCTCGGAGGCTGCTGTCCCAGGAGCCCAAGGAGGGGGCGGATGCAGAGGCCTCACCAGGAGGCAGCCGACTGTTTGCTTCCCTTCCCACCACTAACTGCCCTAGAGCAGGGCAGCCGGACCCTATGTTGTGTCATGAGGCTGAAGGACACGGGGCTGAGAGTGGGGTTAAGGTCCCCACTTCTCCCAGCCCATTAGGAAGAAATGACATCTCACTCCCAAACCCCACTGCACTTGGGAGCATCGCCTGTCCTCTCTGCCACATGCAGTGATGGGGAGAAGGGAGGGGACACCTTAGTCCCAGGCCTGAGATGCCCACAGGGCCAGGACGCAGCCACTATACAGGGCCCCTACTCACCACAGGCAGCGGAAACCCTGCTCCATCACCCGCCGGGGCCTGGCTGGGGCCTCTCTTGGCTGCCCCCTGACACCCTAGCGGCCCGACTCGGTTTCCCCACCTTGTCTGCTGGGCCCCAGGACCCACTCGGCCGCTTTTGCCCTGCCTGGCCCTCCTCGCCCCTGGCCTCGGCAGAGGCTGGAACGCCCCTGACACGCAGCGTCTGGCTCCGGGGCGGGTCCCTTCATGGTCAGCAAGGGCGGCAGGCCCTCTGGGCCAAGCTAAATGCACCCTCTGTGTGAGAGTGCCCAGGTCCTCCTCGCCTGCCAGTTCCAGCGCCCGCACCACTGGCTGACTGGGGCATTCAAGCCAGGGCACCACAGGCTTGCTCTCCACCCCTCCCAACCATGAGGGTGAGGTCTGGAAATTTCCCGGAGCACTGTGCGAGTCTGCCAAGATTTATTGCCATCTTTGCCAGTTTGGGTCGCTGATGTGCACCCAGGGCTCCCACGGAGCTTGGCGTGTAGTAGGTACTTAACCAGGATGTGGTCAAGTAGCTAGTGTTTGCTGAGCACCTAAGTGTGGGACCCTGTGTGCGGTTTCCCACGCACTGTCCTCCTTCAGGGCACCCACCTAGACAAGTCACAGAGCCTTGGGTCAGGACATGGGAAGTAGGGCTGCAGGCCCCACCGCACAGGGCAGGTGTTATAGAAAGTCAGGCTGGCCTCAGAGGGTTAGGTGAGGGTGGGTGGAGAAGGGGCAGACATAAAGACAGGGGGCCCCTGCAGCCCTACAGCCTTCACCTGTGTGTCACAGGTGCCTGAGGCCACTGACTGCACAGATGGACAGTGATGTGTCTACATCTTTAGCCCTCCCTGGGGGCATGAGATGTGCCCTCATTCCTGCCAGGCGCTGTTCCAAGGATGACCAGTGGGCCCACTTCCCAGATGGGGAAACTGAGGCACAGCTGGGTCAAGACATTTAGCCAGCCAGGACATGACAGAGCCAGGGTGAGAGCCCACAGCCTAAACTGCCTGTCAGACATGACACCATGTACATCAACTCCTCAACGCAGTGTCCAGGGGACTCCTGCTGCTCTGTACCCCGGATGCGCTGAGCAGGGACCAGAGGACCGAAGGAGCTGCAGAGCAGTGCAAGCCCGTGGGACAGAGGACAGCCCAGGCCCATCAGGACAGACGGGGTGATCCAACAGAGAGGGCGGGTGGACTGGCTACCTCTGCTTATGCACTGATGGAACAGCCGTGTCAAGGGGGTCACAGGGCCCCCATCCAGCATGCCCCAGCCACCAGGTGCCCTTGCTGGGAAGGGAAGGGGTGGGACACCCAGGACACCTGGGACTGACCCGGGCTCAGACAGCAGTGACAGGGAGGTGCCCCGGCCCACACAGACTCGCTCAGGGCCCTCTTTGTTGGGGTGGGGGCAGCACAGCTGAGAGGTGAACTGAATAGCAGCCGGCTCTGGGTCCTCCAGCTACAGGAAGGGCCCTTGTTTCTATCAAGACAGGGAAGAAAAGCCCAAGGCCTGGCCTCCAGCTGGCCAGCTACCACCACACCCACCGNGGTACTTAACCAGGATGTGGTCAAGTAGCTAGTGTTTGCTGAGCACCTAAGTGTGGGACCCTGTGTGCCGTTTCCCACGCACTGTCCTCCTTCAGGGCACCCACCTGGACAAGTCACAGAGCCTTGGGTCAGGACATGGGAAGTAGGGCTGCAGGCCCCACCGCACAGGGCAGGTGTTATAGAAAGTCAGGCTGGCCTCAGAGGGTTAGGTGAGGGTGGGTGGAGAAGGGGCAGACATAAAGACAGGGGGCCCCTGCAGCCCTACAGCCTTCACCTGTGTGTCACAGGTGCCTGAGGCCACTGACTGCACAGATGGACAGTGATGTGTCTACATCTTTAGCCCTCCCTGGGGGCATGAGATGTGCCCTCATTCCTGCCAGGCGCTGTTCCAAGGATGACCAGTGGGCCCACTTCCCAGATGGGGAAACTGAGGCACAGCTGGGTCAAGACATTTAGCCAGCCAGGACATGACAGAGCCAGGGTGAGAGCCCACAGCCTAAACTGCCTGTCAGACATGACACCATGTACATCAACTCCTCAACGCAGTGTCCAGGGGACTCCTGCTGCTCTGTACCCCGGATGCGCTGAGCAGGGACCAGAGGACCGAAGGAGCTGCAGAGCAGTGCAAGCCCGTGGGACAGAGGACAGCCCAGGCCCATCAGGACAGACGGGGTGATCCAACAGAGAGGGCGGGTGGACTGGCTACCTCTGCTTATGCACTGATGGAACAGCCGTGTCAAGGGGGTCACAGGGCCCCCATCCAGCATGCCCCAGCCACCAGGTGCCCTTGCTGGGAAGGGAAGGGGTGGGACACCCAGGACACCTGGGACTGACCCGGGCTCAGACAGCAGTGACAGGGAGGTGCCCCGGCCCACACAGACTCGCTCAGGGCCCTCTTTGTTGGGGTGGGGGCAGCACAGCTGAGAGGTGAACTGAATAGCAGCCGGCTCTGGGTCCTCCAGCTACAGGAAGGGCCCTTGTTTCTATCAAGACAGGGAAGAAAAGCCCAAGGCCTGGCCTCCAGCTGGCCAGCTACCACCACACCCACCGCAAGCCACGCCCACCAAGCAGGCCCCGCCCACCAAGCAGGCCCCGCCCACCAAGCAGGCCCCGCCCATGGCTCCCTCCAGAATTCCTCCTGGACCCCGCTGAGTGCCTCCCTCCTCCCTAAACGGCTCCGGCCAGGTGCTCCCCTTCCCCCTCCACCTCCCACCCCAACTGATAGGCTCTGGATATGGAACTGCCCCCTCCCCCAAGGGAGTTTCCAGAAGGCAAGCTCTTGGCTTCTGGAAATCGGGCCAGCCCACCACTCGGGCCCAGTATGCACTGAGCGAATGAGCGAATGTATGCTACCACCCCTGCAAGAGGCCCTGCCCGGGCCAGGGTGCCAGGCTCACCTGGTTGGGGGGCTCCTCCTCCAGGGACGCCCAGACTCAGGGCTCCAGCCTGCCTCCAGAGGCTGCATCCCAGAGCTGGAGCCCCCAGGGCTGCCGGCCCCCAGACCAGCTTCCTCCGGCCTGAGCAGATTGCACTGGTGACCGCCCTCCCAGGAAGATGGCCTGTTCCCAGAGCCTGCTGGCGTTCCATTGCTAGCGTTCCAGAAGCCCACTGGAGAGGCTTCTGGGGGCCCTGGCCTGGGAGGGCCAGACTTGGGCAGAGCAAAGGCATTGGCGTGGGGAGGACAGAAGCTGCCTTGTTCCCGCACAGCCAGGCTGTTCACCCACCACGCCCCCCTTTCCTCAGGAGTTCCGAAGCTCGGCTGCGCCTGCGCCTCCGCCTCCGTGGGAGCCTTTCCAGACGCTGACCCAGCCCTGCCCCCACCTACTGCTGGGGTTCCCAGAGGGTGGCCTCCAAGGGCCAGGGGTTGCCAGGGGCTCTGGGCAGAGTTGCCCACCCTCAGAAAACCTGGCCTGATACTTTCTGGGGGACCACACTCCATCCCAACCCCTTTGACCACAGCACATCAAAAGAGGGGCAAGCTGAGGGTCCCAGAAGCCTCTGCTCCCTCCCTTCAGTCCTCAGCAATCTAAGTTGGGGGAGACGTATGCCCCCCATCTCCTAGGGCAGGCCATCATCAGAAACCCTGGGGAACCACCACCAGCCAGCACCAGCTTCCTTGGCCTGGTTTTCAGCAGGTCAGGGGCCTTTGGCAGCTTAGGCAGAGTGGGCACCCCTGGGAACACAGCCATCAAAAGGCTGGGGCCAGGCTCCCTGGAAACTCAAGAACCATGTGGGTGTGGAGGGGCAGCTACCTCCCTGACCTGAGCCTGTCCCATAGTCACCTGTAGCCACCTGGGGAAGCCAGCTCAGGGCGTAATACCCTCCCCCAGTCCCCTGACTTTATTAATCTATTTGCTTTGCAGGGAACAGTCTGTCCTTGAGAGCACATTGCTGACCTGTATGGGGTGACCAGCAGCCCGTGAGTGATGAGGTCATTACAGTGGAGTGGACCTGATTAGTACTGGCTGCATGCTCCCTGGGCCCCTCCCTCCTCCCAGCAGCCTCCTCTCACCCTGGTCCCCTAGGCCCAGCCCCAGCCTGGAAGGGTCCTCAGCCCCAGAGAGGGGGTGGAGCAGCTGAGTAGGGGCAGTGAGGGCCCTCTCCTCTTCCTGATGGTCATGGTGCAACTGGGTGATAAACCCAGGGGAGGTTCAGGGTGACCACAGGCTCTTGCTGCCCCAGAGACCATGAAGAAGAGGCCTGAATGCCCATATTCCCCCATGTTGTCCCCACCCCTTGAATGCCCAATCCCATCCCACTCACCAATCTCCCTGATCCCTGCCCTGCCCTGGGAGACAGGGTCCACCTTCTGTGCCCCCAGCACCTGGAGAGCCTGTCATGCCCTCATCCCTACTGTGAGCTCCGGAGCAAGGCAGAAAAGGGCTCCAATGCTGACACACCCCAGGCATAGGGGCTCCCCACCCCTGGGGGCCCCTCCCTTACTGGGCAGCTCTGTTAGAAATTCTCCGTTTGGGTTCAGAGCTCACCTCCATGGAACCTGCACCCACAGGCCGCAGTGCTAACCTGGCCCCTGTATGAGCCAGCCCCTCCCCAGGCAGCCCTCCTGTCACAGCCCTGTCCACCAAGGCCCTGCATCCCAGCCAAGGTCTCAGCCTGTGGGGAACCAGACTCCCTACCCCCAGCCCAGGAACTCACCTTGAGCCTCGTAGCCGGCCAGGTCTGGCTTCTCTGCGGCCGCCGGGCTGGTCAGCCGGCCCAGAGCCAGCTGCAACTGTGCCACGTTCATGCGGGCCGTGAGCTCCCCGTTTCGGTCCCCAATCTGTGGCCAAGCAGGGCCAGGTCAGTGGGCAGGCAGGCTAGGAGGCCCTCAATGGGTCTCCAGGGAACCAGGACTCACTGTGCCCCAAGGTGAGTCTGGGGTCTGTCCCTAGGTGGAGGTGGCCTCACATACCCTCTCACATTGCAGGAAAGCGTAGGGCCCTCCTTCTCAGGTACCCTCCCGTGGGTCTTGGCCTGCTCTGGCCACACTGCACCTCTCTCAGCCCCTGGAGCTTTACACCAACCCCTCAGGTGCCTGCCAGGCTCACGGCTCCTCCTCGGCTCCTCCCCAGTTCCCAGCTCAGAGCAGCGGCTCCCCGGGAGAACCCTCAGTGCAGAGGTGACATGCATCGTCCAGGAACAAGTCAAAGAAAGGGCAACCTGGCAGGTCTTCTGCATGGTGCTACAGGCACCACTGCTAGGCCCCTGCCTGTGCTCAGATGGACAAGGGCTGCCCTGCTGGTGGCCCAGGTAGAGGGCTCTCCAGGCCAGGCCCTCCCCTGTCCTGAGCTCTCCTGCTCCTTCCATCTCCACCTGGGCACCTGTGGGCCTCACCTGCCCATGGACATGAGGCTGTGGTGGGTCTGGGCAGGCGTTAGGGGTGTGCTAGAGGAAGGTGACGGGGGCTGCTTCTTGGAGATCCGGGGGGGGGAGGAGGGCAAAGAGCAGGAAGGGGGTGTGGTCAGGAGAAGTAAGGCAAGGAGCCAGGGAACCAGAGTTCGCCTGTGACAACTCTGTGGTTTCCAGCCACGGGAATACTCTGATCACAACAGGAGGGTTCTGGGTGGACAGGCCCCTTGGTTGCCCACCTTCCCCAGGAAGGTGTCTGGCTGGGGGAGTCCCAGGGGAAGATCCTGCAGGGATAGCCTCTAGCAGGTCATTTCCACCTTGGGTGTTGGGCACAGACATCCCTGTGGCCCAGCCTGGCCAGTTTCCCTAGGGACAGAAGGACCTGGTTATGGACATGCCCACAGGGCACACTAATGCACTAGGAGTGGAAAACAGGCCCCCTGATCCCCCCACCCCCACCTCCTGGCTACAGCAGACAATTAGCCACCAAGCCTCAGAGGACATGGGGTGGCCAGCCCGCCCCTGGGCAGCACGCAGCAATAGACCAGAGAGGACACAGGGACAGTCCACAAAGAGCTCAGAACACACAAAGGCACCCGGCCAGTCTGGAGCTGGTTGGGCAGCGCCTAGGGGCCCCCAGTGCCAGCTGAGGCAGTGGTTGGGGACTGGCGGGGGAGCTGGACTGGCTCACCTCCTGGGAGATCTCCAAGTGCTTCTTGGCGAAGGTCAGGGCCTGCGCCGGGCTCCCCATGGACACGTAGGCATTCCCCAGACTCCAGCATGCCCGGCCTTCACCCACTCTGCCAGGGAGGGAAACTGAGTCCACATGTGCACCACCATGCAGGCCTACCAGCCTGCCCACCAGCCCAGCCATCCCAATCCCCGTCTCCAGGTGGTAGGGCCCAACAGGACAGGAGGTGGAAAGGACAGAGGAGGTGGGGGGTGGGCAGCTTCATGGGTGGGCTAGGGGTGGGGCACTCATCTTGGAGTGGAGCTGGGAGCTGGCTACCTCAGCCTCTAGGGTCTCCGGCCTGGCCTTGCTTGCCCCCTAGTGGCCAGCGAGGCTCTCACCTCCATGGCTCCTTCCACCCTTGGGGACAGTGGTGACCTCAATCACTCCGTTCATTAATTTTTTAGTTGAGGTGAAAATCATCTAACATAAGCTTAACCATTCTAGAGCACATGATTCGGTGGCAGTGTGTACAATCTGTGACTGTTGCCACTATCTACTTCCAAAACATCACCACCACCACCCCAAAAAAGTGCCTCCTGGCGGGGCAGCCTTTTAGGAGACCCCTCCTGTCCACCACCTGTGAGAGGCCCACGGCCTGTGGCTCTGAGCCCCCTTGTTCTGGCCACTGCCCACCCAAACGACCGTTGTGCATGGCTGTGCGTTTAGGAATCTTCGGTCTGTCTGTCTCCATAGAGACTGGTACTTATATAGATATGGGGGCAGCTCAAAGGAGCGACGAACTAGATAAAGAGGGTGAACCTCCTCTGCCAGCTTGTGCCAGGGGTTTGCTGCGAGTGGTCCTGCTCGGGGTCACTCGGTCAGTGGCAGAGCAGGGCCTCGGACCCAGGCCTTGGCCTCTGTCACCAGCTTGTGATTCAGCCTGCAGCGCTTGCACGGAGCCCTCTGGGTGGGGTCTGCCCACCTCCGCATCCGCACCGCACACACCTGTCGGCCAGCTCCTGGGCGATGAGCAGGTGCCGCAGGTGGAACTCGGCCGCGCGCTCGTAGTCCTGCAGCAGCGTGTACGTGTTGCCCAGGCTGTAGCAGGCCTGCGCCTCCACCGCCTGGTCCTTGAGCTGCCGGGACAGCTGCAGCGTCTTCCTGCGGGCAGAGGGGCAGCCCTCAGGAAGGAGGTTCTAGTATCCCCCTCTCCTGGGGGGCAGGGCACGTCTTATGACCCCCACTCCTGTCTGAGGGGTAGACGGCGGGCAATGGGGCAAGCAGCCCACCCACCCAGAGGCCTCCGGCCCCAGGACCCCACAGGGTTTTCTCTGGGGCCTGGCTGTGTCCCCATCCTCAGATGGCCAAAGCACCTGACTGCTGGGAGCAGACAGGTGGGGCCCCACCAGGCTCTGCCCACACTGGCCAGTCGCCTCACCCTCCTGAGCCTCCGCCTGTCCACAGGGGTCCCGGGGACAGCAACACTTAGGTCAGGGTCCCGACATGGAGCGTCAAGGCTCGGCGCAGGACCTGGTGCACGTGACCTGGTCTCTGCCCCGTGGCTACCGCTCAGCTACTCAGACCAGGAGGCAGATGGCCCAGCGAGTGTCTTGGCACCAGTCAGGGAGCCCCAGGAGCCAACAAGGTCCTTACCATACTAAGTCCATATGGGAATGGTTATACCTGCTCTGGGGTCCTTCCAATAACTGGCACCAGAAGGCCCTCAGCCAAGGCCGGCTGTGTGCCTGGCACATGGTGCCTCCACCAGCGCTCACCAAGTCCCCAGCAGCCCTGGACTACAGCTTTGTCAGTCTGCCTTTCTGGGGTGGCCAGAGACCCCCCACCTGCCCCTGGGGAGCCTGGAAAGTCAGACTCCCCACCTTGGGGCAGATGCCTCCTGGGCCTGTGCCCCCCTCAGGCCCCACCCTCGCCCTGGCTGAAGGGGGTGCTGCCTACTTGTAGTACTCGGCAGCCACATCGAAGCGCCCCAGGAAGATGTGGGCATTCCCCAGGTTGCTGTAGGCCCTCCGCTCCGCTGCCTTGTCTCCAAATTCCTTAGCAATGGCCAGGCGCTGAGGACACAAACCCACAACACAGGTGGTCACGGAGCAGCCACAGGACCCAAGCCGACAGCAGGTGCTGCCTCCCCGCCAGGGTTGCCCGCCCCATGTCTGTGTGTCCAGACGGAGCAGCCCCAGGAGCCCCAGCACCAAGGTCAGACAAAGCCTGGGTGGATGTGGGCTGCCCTGCTGCCCACGCTGCTGTCTGTCCACTCACCTCCTTGTGGAAGGTCGTGGCCTCCACGAAGCTCCCCAGCAGGTAGTGGGTATTGCCCAGGTTGCCGTAGGCCCTGCCCTGGGCCGCTCGGTCGCCCAGCTCCTTCACCAGGGACAGGTTCCTCCTGGAGGCCGAGTCCATCAGAGGCATGTCCCTCCCGGTGTGAGGGAAGCAAGGCCCCATGACCCATCCCTCCAGGCAGAGGATGCCAAGCGGGTGCCTGGCTCTGGTGCCACTTGGTCCTGTCTGAGCTCCAAGGCTCGGGTTAGGGGCTCCCCCTGTCTCCAACTCTGGTTTTCAGGTATAACCTCTGTTCTAAAGGGAAGAGTTCTCCCAGACCCAGGGGTTCAGCCCAATGCCCTGGCCCTTTTTCCAGCCGAATGTTTTTTAAATGTCACACACACTTTGGTGAGCAGTCTCCCTACTTCTCTCCACTGCTGCGGATGAGCACAGGGCAGGAAAAGCAGGGGCTTCAGGGAGTCCCAGCAGACCCAGAGGACAGGTGCGGGAGGGTGTGGGGTAGGAGGGCCAGCCTGGCTGCCACTGTCAGGGGCCTCAGGGAGGTGGTGGGCCGGGTGTGGGCACTGTACTTGGGGCTGCCGCTAAGTCTCTGTGCCGAGGGCAGGGGCCCTGGGAACGTCTGTGGAATTTGTGGACCAACCCCGCCACCCACTCACTCGTAAAACTCGGAGGCCCTGCGCAGCGTCTCTCGAACATCGGGTGGCAGGTGCCCGGGGTCCTGTGCGGTGTTCCAGGACAGCTGCTTGCCCTTGGCGTGGTATACATTCCCAATGTTGTAGAGCGCCCTCGCCTCCCCAATCTGTGGACAACACCAAGGTTGGGGTGTCTCCAAAGCCACAACCGTCAAGAAACCCACTAGCCTTGGACCAGTGGGTGGGAACATCGCCCCAAAGCGTACACGCAAAGCTGGTATGCGCACTGTCCAGGCTGTACCTGGGGCTCCAAAAGCAAGAACTTGGGGAGGGACATCATTAGGTCCATATGCTAAGGTAGGGGGCTGGACAGGGAAGCAGCCCGGGGGTTGATAACCTACCTTGTCCCCCTGCTCCTGGGCAATGTCCAGGTGCCGCTGGCAGCAGACAACAGCCTCATCAAAGCGGCCCAGGACCTTGAGTGTGTTGCCCAGGTTCCCACTGGCCTTGGCCTCCCCCATGCGGTCACCGATGGTCCTAGAGGGCAGGAAAGAGGGTCCAGGCTGAGTACTAGTTGGAACCGAGCTCAGCAGGGAATGAGGGCCTGGGAGAACCAGCCCTTGGTTGGGGTGCACAGCTCAGGATTACCCTTCTGCTGGGCCAGGTCTGCAGCTGTCAGGGCTCAGGGAGGACCTTGGGTCGAGGCAAGGAGAGTTAGGGGGGCCTCGAAGTGAGAATTGACATTAGGATAATTCATGCAGTGAGTCTTCGATGCATGCATTCCGGCACCACTCCAGGGCTGGGTGCTGAGGACAGGATGCAGGGCTCACTGGCTGGTGGGGAGTCCAGCTGCTGAGGCTGCTGAGAAGTGGCTACTGCAGCCTCAAGAAGGAGCAGGAGCGGGGGGTAGCAAGTGAGGGAAGAGTGTTTCGGGGTGGGAACAGAATGGGCAAAGGCTTGGAGGTTGAAGGAGAACAGAGACAGATACAGGCAAAAACACAGGGGTAGGGAGGGGTAGCTACCCTCCTACACACAGTCCCAGAGACAGGCACAGGCTCTTGGACACACGTGTGCTCAGTCACAGGATACTGGGCCACACCCATGCTCACACACATGCAGACATACAGACACGCTCACACGTGTCTCAGCTTAAACACAGCCTCCTGGGGGCACTTCCTGGATCCCTTGGACCCTGAGAGCTCTGCCACCGGGCTCGTATTGTGACCCACTTCCCGGGGGCAGGGCACCCAGACCCTTCTTGGACAACCCTTTGCGCCCACACTGCACCGCAGCTCACCGGGCCAGCAGTAGGTCGTGCTTGTGGTACTCCAGGGCGCGGGCGTACTCCTTCAGGTAGAAGTAGGCATTGCCCAGCTGGCTGTAGATGGCACTCAGCGTCTTCAGATCCTCAGTGCCCACCTGCACAGCAGCCTCGAAGAAGGCCACACCTGCCTTGAAGTCCCCAGACTTGCATAGACGCTCGCCCTCCAGGGCCAGCTCCAGGCATGAGGCCTCCATCCTGGGTGGAGAGAGGAGGGGTCACAGCCTGCCTCTCACGCAGTCACACCTAGGGACCTGTCCTCCGAGTCATCACTACGGACAACCGGGTCCCTCAGATGGCGGTGGCCTGTGCCATGCTTATACACACAAACATAAGTCTCTTCTTGGATAAACACCTAGAAGAGGTGCTAGGTCCAGTGGCATGCCCATCCCCAGGTTGGCACGCCCATGCTGCTCACCTATGCCCAAACCTCCTCACTGCCAGGGCTCAGGAGCACCTGGGGCGAAGTCGTGAGTCTGTGATTGCAGCAAGACCCTCGGCCTGCGATGGTGGAGCTCCAAACACTGCCAACCCCCAAGTGTCAGCCGCCCAGGAGAGGGGCCACACACCATCTTCCTGAGAGGCATGGCAGCCTGCGACAGGCCCTGATCCCGACTGAGAGCAACCGAGGCTCAGAGAGGGTCAGTGAGCTGACAGACCACACAGGCAGGATCTGAGCCCAGCCCCTCCCTAGTCTGCAACCTGGAGGGGAGGCCACATCCTCCAAGCCCCCAGTGGGAATTGGAGGCTCAGCCATCATCTGTCCTCACTCCCTGACCTCTTCGGGAACATGGCTGTGTCTGAGCCCAGGGTCAACCAGCCCCTGGCCCCTTCCTGCCCCTCCAGGCTGAGAAGCGCTCTGCTGGCTGCCGGCCAGGACTGGCTTGAGAAACAGCTGTTCCCGCCATGTGCCCCCACCCTGTGGTGCGGCTGTGGGAAGAAGTGGACAGTACCATGTCCCAGGATGAACCCACATCCTGGAAACCGGCCCCGGGTTCCTGCCCCTTGAATCTGGCCCAACCCCAAGGGCCCAGGGCCCTACGTGACCACCAACACCTCTCTGGTGGCTGTGCTGGCTCCCCCCGCCCCGCCGCCTTTGGGCAGGGACTTCCGAGAAGAAGCCCCTCACCCTTGGGCGCTGCACAGCACCCTGAGGTGCGGCCCTGGGCCGGCCACTTTCCCTCAGGGCCTCAGCCTTCTCCGCGATACTCCCTATTGGTCACCTGACCTGTTGCCCTGCCCTGGGGACACAGATGCCATGGAGGCACAGAAGCCCCAAACTGGAGGACGGCCTGAGGGCGGGAGGGGAGGGGCACGGGCCTCAGTGAGGGCACCATGTAGGCAGCAGGAGGAGCCAAGGGACAGGGTCTTACCACAGAGACCCTGGAAAAGAGGGAGCCTGCTCCACGTGATCACAGGCCAGCCCCTGCTGTCCCTGTCTCAGTCCCATTGCTTTCTGAGGTTTTCAGAGTTCATGGAAGACCTACAGAGTCATTAAAAATGTCCACAGAACAATCCCGTTGCGCCCCAAGGTGCTCGGCCCTTCTCTGTGTTGTTAGAAACGTGCAATGATCAGGAGTTATTGAGGGGAAACCAACGTATTTCCTTAAAAAATAAAGTTGTCTAGGCCAGTGCTTCTAAGCTGTTTTAACCAAACACCCCTTTGATACAAACCACAAGTCCGCTTACTCTGTTGCCACGTTATCAAGAACATGGGCACCTCAAACATTTCCAACGACAGCAACACCACATGGACAGGCTGGGTGGGGCTAGTGGACCCCCCAGAAGGCGCACCCAGCACCCTGGGCCCCACAGGCTCACAGTTTTCTGCTGGGGAAGCCCCCCACCTTTGCAGGGCCCCTTGCCCAGCTGTGACTCCCAACACCAGGGTCACTCGTCCTGGGGAGAGTAGGCTCGTTCACTCCATGGAGAACACAGGGCCTGAGCTCTGGGACCTCACCCCCACTCTTCCTCCCCCAGATTCAAGCAGAGCTTGTGTGACCTCTCCGAGAGCCAGGGGTCAGGAACATGGCCTTGAAACCTCAGGACACCAGACCCTTGGGCCTCCCTCCAGCCCCTGCACGCCAGGGCCTCCCATGGGTGATGTGCCTGTTCCTCCGCAGCCACCTGACCAAGTGCTCAAGGAAGAGCCATCTGGATGCCACATCACAGGAGCCCACGGGCAGCCCTGCGGTGCCAGGCATGGGGCTTCTTTATTAGGACCAGTATGTCCCTGCCCAGTTGCTTGGCAAGCCATCTGATGGGCGAACTGCCCTCTCCTCCTAGGTGACTGTGGAAGGGACATGGGCTCTGAACCGTGGGTATTTTCAGAGAGGAACATGCCGTGTTGGCTCTGGCAGATCTGGCGGCCTCCCTCCACCTGTCTCAGAGCAAAGGTTTCTGGCTTAGGAACTTGGGGCCCCAAAATCAAGGGGGTAGGGGTCATCCTGATGGGACATCATCGCAAATGCAGACTGGGGGGGTCTAACATGGGTCCCTGGCAACATGGGGAGGTCATCTGGAGAAGCACCAGGCAGAGTATACCGGGCTAGAAGCCCCCACCCTCTCCATTTACCCCAAAACCTCCAATGGCACCTTGACCTCCTGGCAGGCACCCATCACGCGCCCCTTGCCCAGGTGCCCTCCCAGGTGCCCACCGCACCTTGTCCTCTGCAGGTTACGCATCTTCTGCATGTACAGCCACAGCTCCAGGCCCACCGGCAGCAGTAGTGGGCGGGGGCGGGGGGCTCCATATACCACTTTGCACACTGCCTTCTCGGCCAAGCTCAGGGCCACAGGCTGACCCTGCATGGCCACAGCCAGCATTGCTGGGCTCTGGGCCTCCCTCCTGGGCAGCCAGCCCTTGCCCTGCCTTGGCTGTTGGTCCTGGGGTTGCACCAAACTTGGGGTTCCCTTGACTCTCCCCACCCGAGGGTGGTGGGCTGAAGGCTCTGGCGGCCTCAGCTGCAGGAGACCCCAGGTCCTTGGACAGATCATTTGGGGTTCCCAAGGCCTGAGGTGGATCAGAGGATCAAGGGCAGCTCAGAGCCGGGATCAGCGCAGTCAGCAGGGCGGGGCCTGGT